ACTCTTCTAGAGCTAGAGATGCAGTAGTGAGTAAAATACTAATAATTCCCTAGGGAAAAACATAAAATGGAAAGAAGATGAGTGTGCTGGAGTAGGGATGGAAGAGATTATTAAGAGGTTGAAATTTTAAATAGTCAGGGAAGCTTTCACTGAAAAATTAATTTTTGACAAAAAACTGAACAAACAGGAGATGGTGATATGTAAGGGGGGAATGCATTTCAACTAGCAAAGGCACTGAGCCAACTGGGCAACTGGCATATTCAAGGAACAGCAAGGAAGCTACTGTGGATGGAACAGAATGAGTGAGGAAGAAAACCCTAAAATATACGGATAAAGAAGAAAAGGTGCCAGATTACTTAGGACCTTACAGGAGTGTAAGAACTTGAACTTTCACTCTGAGATGAGGAGCCATTGAAGGGTTTGAGATAAGGAATGCCTTGATCTGGCTGAGTTTTAAAGGGATCTTCTGAGCTCCTAAATTGGGGGAGGGTTGTTAAAAAAACAACAACAACAACAACAAACAAACCCCAGACTAAGACATATAATAATTAAAGCAACAAGAAAGAGGGAGAAGATGAAACAAGAAGAAAAGGTAGATTTGCTTACCTTAATTCATCAGATACTTACTGAGTACACTGTTAGGCACTGATGAGGATGAAAAAAATTGGTTAGCCATGGGTTCTGCCCACACAGGGAATTTATAGGAGATAAAACATGAGTCAAAGTAACTATAATACACAGTAGAAAACAATGAGCAAAGGATAAGTTTCCATCTGGGTTGGCAAAGAGGGAGAATTAGGGAAGTCTTCTTGAAGTAGTCCGCATTTAGCTGGCCACAAAAATCAAAGCTCCTTGACAGGATGGGTTCTGCTTTTTCCTGCCTTCTCAATTTGCCAGCACCTGAAACAGGGCTTGGCATAGTCTGTGGTCAGCAGGTATCTGTTACATTATGTCTGAGTGAACGTGGGTGTGCAGGTATGTAGGGAGGAGGGCATTCAAACAACCGAAACAACATGAGTGACATCACAACAATGAAGAGTTACAGTTTTAATTTAGTGGCAGGACGTGAGAATAGGGGGAGATGAAATAAAAACCTTGGGGTAGGGTTACATCACAGAAGACCTTGCTGGTCCTGTGGAGGTACCAGTGATGGGAAGGGAATTTTGTACTGAAAAGATGTGATAATACTGATAGATGATTGAAACAAACAAACAACTGGTGGATGGAAGCTAGAGACCAGTTTGGATGATATTGTAAAAACAGGACCTCAATCAGTTTATTATCACTTGGTCCCCTCATCATTAGTACTTCCACTATACTGAGTAAATATTTGTAAGCCTTACCACAGACGTGTATTTACTTGTATGTTTCCTTTTCACTAGCAATATAGCATATTTAGCAGTGGTGGTGGACACTTTTAATCATAGCCCCATTTCCCTTTTTCCCTTTATTATAGTAATAAAATGCCTCAAATTTCAGCTTGACATAGAGCTACCAGTCAGAGACTCCATTTCCCTGCCTCTCTTGCAACTGGTTGTGGTGATATGACTAGGTTTTGGCAATGGATTTCAGCGGGAGTGACAAGTGCAACTTTTGGGACATGCATTCCTAATGAGGCTGCGTGTCCTCCCATTTCTTCCTGCCTCTTCCTGTAGGCTTCTCCCTACCCATTTTTCTCTCCCCATGCCTGAAGGAGGTGTTGGAGATTATGCCTTTTTGCACCTATATGACTTTCATAGCCCTTTTCCTGATGAAACAGGTATAGGGGCCTGGGAGTTGCATCAAGGGTCAATTTTTCATAGGTTTTTTTGTACAAAGGGAAAATAAAGGCCTATGACCAAAATCTGGCCAGTGGGATGTGAATGGAAGTAGGGTGTAGTGTCTGAGTCATGCCTCTAAAAGGAAGCTCTCTGCTTCTTTTTTTTCCTTCTTTCTGAAGGTAGGGATTTGACCCTGGTGTTGGTAAGCCCACCTTGACCCAGGGCATCATCCTACAGGATACAAAGGAAGAATATACAAACAGTGCCAAACAAACTTGGACTTATCTATAACAGATTAGTTAAACTACTGTTATTTGGTCTCTGCTAAAGCAGCCAAATCGATATATTAATACATAATTTATAAATACTGACCAAAACCACTCTGTGTTGAATGAATATATGATTAGTAAGTATGAACATCTCTAAGTAAAGCAATATTAAAGAATTATTTCTCCCATTCCCCTAAGCTTTGAACATAAAACATCTATAGTCTATAGAAAAGGAAAGCTACAGTACAAAGCTTCAGTTGAAGTCAACTTCTGTATAATCATAACTTTGGGTCCAAATCCTAACTTGTTCTATGATAAAGTGTATTAGCACAGAAAGCATCTACTGTCAGTTGAGGTTAAACCAACACAACACTGAGCTACTGGTTTCTGGTTATAGGTTCTAACATACCAAGAAACAAGGCCTTTAAAAGGAAATGGACTATGAAATCTTCAAATTCTGTATGTCCTACCAGTCTTTTTAGGCAAATGTAACAATATGAATTTGAATATTAGTCTCTGATTTCAGGAATTTTCTCCTTACTTGTTTTCATACAGAATGCAACAATAATTTCAAGGAAGTAAAGGAAGAACAGTATTTGACAATTGGGTCTTAAAAAACTGGCCATTTATGTTTATTATTTTAGAAACATATTTTATTCTTATACATAGATTACGACTGTGTAAATAAGGATTTCTGTTTGTATAGCCCACCTGATCAAATCTGTTTATGATCAAGTGTATTTACTTATGTTACTAGAGCATTTTCAAAGAAACACCGAGAGTGCCCACAGAACTCTTTAGGGTTTAGCTGTGTATGTCTTTTGTGGAAGAGCACTGGATGGTGACTCATTTAATTAGGGAGTGTTTCAAAGAGGCAACTGAAGGTGAGCCCCAACACTGGAAACATGATTTGGGTGTCAGCTTTGGGACAGAGGTTGTAATTTAGAAAAGCTGGAGACCTGCACATTATTTTCCGAATAGAAATAAAACTTAGAAAGAGATAGAGCTATTCTGACTTTTTAATGCCAAAAGGTTTAAACTGTCGAAGACAGAAATGGTGAAATGTAAATATTGGATATAAAAAGGAAATGTTTTATTTCCTATACCACTTAAGTTCTTTTGTATAAACAGTATCTTTCTTTTATCAAGACTTTCCTATTGTGTGGTAGTTTTCCTTGGAGGACTAAGGACAAGGACTTTTTTTTGCTGATCCCAAATCTTCAGAACTGTGCCTACGGTTAGCAAGTTCCTAGCTTAGCTAACCAAAAAAAAAAAAAAGAGAGAGAGAGAGAGAGAGAGAGAGAGTTTCTGATTGAATGAATAGACAAGTGGATAATGCTTGCATCTATGAATTGTAATTTCCCACTAAATGAAGTGGAAGAGTGACACATCCTATTTTGAGGGTCTTCATGGAAATATAGCTATCACACTAAGAGACTTTCCCTAAAAATACAAAAATAAGGAGATATTTAACTCAATAAGTTGTTTATAAAGAAGGCTGCTTCACAATGTTTTTTGTTATTTAAGTTTTGTAAGCATATTTACTTCATTTGGTAATACTCGGAATACTTAATTTTCCAGAAACTATGACTTTCGGTATAAGGCTATGTTAAAAAATAAACATGATTATAAACATAAATTTAGAAAAAGAGAGAATCTGACCAATTTTCTACATGTCTGTGAGCAAATATAACACTGAAAAAATGACCAAGATTGTAATTAGAAATATTGTGTCGAAGAAAAACAAATAATTAGCTTGAATGGTTATGGTATTCTATACTGCTGATAAATGAGTCATCTTGACCCCCCTGACCACTTACTTATGTGAAAACCATGCAAAAGGATTGCAACTACAACAAGCTGGAGTTTTAGTCTATTTCCACAAATTTTCATTATTGTAAACCAACTGACACACATTCCAATAATCCAAATATCATTTTGTGTAGTAATACGGTAATCTGACGTAGGGATCTAGAGGTAATCTGTTTCGTTCACGTAGGTAAAGGATGGGGTATGTAAAAGAAATAATGTGATACTGAAAGCAACGCTATTCATTTAACATAATGAGCTACTATACAATAAGTCAGATGCTCCGAGAGTGTAAATTATACGAATTTGAAAGCTCCATTTATTATTAATATCTCATTCCCAGACAGGAGCTTGCTTAGTCAGTCAGAAGTAAAACCTGGTTTAGCATACCAAATTTAAAGCTGTTTAAATATGAAAGTTTTTTTTTAAATCTATCATGCATGTAGCGAAATCACTTGCATGCATTTTAAACCTTTTTCCCCCCAAAAGTATTGAGAATATTTTATTTTTACTACCACAAATCATAGAAATTAAATACGAATTATAGTAATAGTCATAAATACTTGAACTGAAGCTTAAAATTTATCATTTAAAAGGTCTGGAAATAGACTTCATATTAAATTGCCTATCAGTGCTCTAACAGGCTGATGCTATTTTGTAAGAAAGAGCAAAGTAAATGCAGGGATATTCTAAAATTCCTTAGGTTGAATTGATGAGATTTCATACTGTAGATGATTTAACGAGTTCATGCTTCTAGGTGTACATCAGCACATGTCAAATTCTACAAGAGTTTATGATTTCTAAGAACTCTCCTTCTAGAAGGCCCTTTGCTGAGTGGCGCTCGATTAGGAATCAGTAAGTAAAGAGGCTCTTTTTTATTTTCGTGTAAATAGTTTAAGAGTAATTCGGGGTGGTCTAGAAACCATGAGTTATCAGGAAGGTGCTTATAAATGGGATATAGCACCTCACTTGCCCAAGATCCTTTCTAACAACCTAGCCGGGACCGCCACACTCTGCTGGGCACCGTCTGCAGGGGAATTGCCATTTCTGCCAAAGACCACCCAGGACACAGATTCAGAATCCATCATAGGGCCGGCCAACATCTATAATCTGGTGTCCCCTGATTCGGGGCGAGTGCATTCAATGCAGGAAGATCACTTACGACTGAGTTTTTCATCATGGCTTTGACTGTGAAGCCCTCAGAAACCAGGGAGTGAGGCTGATGCACCGGGAGCGGCTGTTGTGCCAGCAGCTTGGTCCTCTTCGGCATCTTGTCTGGGCATTTGTTTAAGCTCAGGGTCTCTTTTTCTGCCACCATCTTCCTAGAAAATGCCTTGTTCTCATAAAACGTGTAGTACAAGAATCAGTGGGTTTTACGGATGTGAGAAGGAGTTCGGGAAAAAATGTAAAAAGGCGCGTTACTGGTAGAAATTCAACCCCTCGAAGTGCCCAGGTTGATCCAGATGTTTGGCAGCTCCTAGGTGAAGGGAGTTGAGGGAGGGGAGGGGCGGGAAGAGGGAAGGACCGTAGCAAGAGCCGCAACAAGCTTCCAAAGGTAAGCCTCCTGGTTGCTAAGCGACGCGTCAACACTGCGGCCGAATGGCCCAGTCCTCCCGTGACGTACGTTTCCTGGGCCTGAATCCGGAATGGCGGCGGAAGGCGGCCAGCGGAAGACGGGCGGCGGCTGGCGGGCCGGGGGTGGGGGGGCCGGGGGCGGGCCGGGGGCGGGGGCGGGGGCGGGGGCGGGGGCGGGGTAAGGAGAAACTACGTGGTAAAACTACGACTCCCAGAAGGCGCCTTGTTGCGCGCCGTCCGCGCGTGCGCATTCCGACAGCCGGCCACAGGGGAGGCAAGGGCTGGAAGATTTAACCCCGGAGCCACACTGGTGGGAGGCACGTGTGGGTGCCAGTGCGCGCGTAGGTCCCTGCATGCCCAGCAGCCTCCACCTGCCCAGTGACCATGATAGGTACGTGGGTGCCTGCCAGGTACAGCCTCTCTGCGCCGCCCCGCCAGGCCTCGGCGGACAGGGACCCCCAGGGTGTCCGCGCCGCTGTCAACTGTCAGTGTCAGGGCGGCCGTGTCCGTCCGTCCTCAGTGACCGCCGTGGGCCTCCCAGGGCCCTCCGTGGGCCAGGAGTATAAGTGTGTGTGTTCTAAGCCCCCACCCCGCCCGTGGTTTGACAGGCTTCCCACTGGAGACAACTTCTCCAGGGACCCTGGTGCCCCTGCGCCTGCCAAGGTGAAGGCTGGGTCGCGCGTTCCCACAGCGAGCGCTCTGCTCAGCCAGACTTGGCGGGGGGCGGTTTGCAGGTCCCGCAGAGCGCCTTGGTGGCTGCCTTCCAGTTAGGAACAGACTGGGACCCAAAGTCTGTAGGACTCTTTCCGGGGAAACCCTAGCGAAGCATTAAACTCCGGTGGAAGGTACCTGCAGTAATGCTTAGGATCAAAAGAAATTCCTGCAAAGGGATTTAAACGTCTTGCTCCCTCCGATTTTTCCTTTTAAATCTCTCATTGTAGGTCTGAGATGAAAGAAGAGTAAATAACAAGGATTAAATATTTGTGTAATGAACTATTATTATTGTTTAACACAAAATGACCTAGGTGCCTTTTTGTGATTAAAGCTTTGGAAACGGTTTATTATAATTGTTTATTATAAATACTGTGATGTATAAGATTAGCAAAGTTTCTCCCTTCCGGGGTTGTTAAGCCAAAAGTTTTTTTTTTTTTTAGCGGTAATCTTTGAAATGAGTGGAAATGCACAGTATGATTAGAAACCATTGCTATTTGGGGGGTTTATTATGACACAGTCTCGCTCTAGATTGTGTATGGAAGATTTGGTGAGCCTATTTGGGGATTATTCCTGATGAGTGCCACTTACAAGGCACTTTTGATTGCAATGAGTACATCTGAAGTCAAAAGTGGTCTGTCCAGAAAGATGAGAAGTGGATTTTTAAAATACGTAAGTTTGTATGCACTGATAAAGTCTTAAGTCTTTTTTAAGGAAATTAATGTTAAAAAAGTAAAATGTTCTACTCACTGGGAGAGTCAAGCCAGTGATTAACTGACACTGTCTTTGCAGCAGTGATAAAACCTAATGATGTCCAATTTTTCTTACCTTTCTAGCATAGTATGACTATTGGTGAATGACTTTTGAGAGTCATCCAATTAAGACATTTTTTCTTATAAATACATTTTTCATATAAACTTTTATGAATCTTCTGAGACTTTTTTGGTGACCATTACATATAATCCACTATAAACACAACTCTGAACTGAATCAGAAAAGATTCAGTGAAGAAGAAAATTTTCAAAATCCATGATGTCAGTATTTTATAGGAAAAAATAATTTATATTTTATTTTGAAGACAGTTGTGCAAATTTTATTTTAATTCAACTTAATCTAGTGCATGGATACTTTTAAAAGCAAATTTATAGTAAAGCTATATATAAAGACAGGGACTTAAGATCTAAAAATCACAATTCTAAATTATTATCTAATACATGGCTATACAAACACTTTATTAGGATGAACTATGTTTAGGCAGTTTTGTTTAGTTTACTTGCAATTCATGGGATTCATTTACTTGGGACATGAGAAGGAAGAGTATGATTTCTGGATTTGATTAGACAGTTATTAGTAACATAATTACATGGAGAATATAAGGTAGGTTTTAAAAGATGTTTTTTCTCATACTCCAGATACTATTTTACATAGTGCAAATAAATGTGTATTACAACATAAATACAACATGCTCCCTCCCAAGAAAAGTACCTTACATATAAAAACCATTTGGACAGTGTGCAGGAAATTATTTTATACAGTTAGTTGCATTGCCTAATTCTGTTGGTGGGCACATTTTTATAAAAGTCTTGATTGCCAATTTTGTTCTTGGTTGTGTTGGAAAGTGTGTTGGAAAGTGTGGAAAGGACAATGTTGGAAGGTAAGTGAAAGTGGAGGCAATTGAATGGAAGTCTTGAAGTGATGGGTTTCTTGTTTCTGTGACTAAACTTTGGAGACAGGAAAGGCATTATAGTTTATACCTAATGATAAGCTGGAGATCAAAATATAAATCACTGTATTGTTTTTTTCTGTTAAAGACATTGTGCTACTCAGAACTTGGCCCTTTATGACTATGCTCTTTTTAATTGCTACACCCTCTTTAATGCAAATAGTGCTCTTCCACTTTATATAAATCTTGGTTACTTTTGAGGAAAAACAAAAATAGGCTACTTGGTACAATAGGAGTAAAGAGGATTGAGTGTTACCTCACTACCAGTAGAATTAACTTTCCTTTTACGTTCTTAAAACCTAGGATTCCTTCTTGGCACAGAAATGTTTCAAATGTACTTATATTTCTCACTTGGATTATGACTGATACGTTAAATGCCCTGACCCAGACAGCCATAGAAACATAGTTTAATTGAAGTTGGTGATTATGACTGTGAGAAGTATGGGGAAGGATATCAAGATGATACAAAGCAGAATAGAAGGACTTAAGAAAATTCTACTTAGAAAAATATAATTTTTGGCATCATTATTATTTTTTTTTAAGATTTTGTTTGTTTATTTGAGGGGTGGGGCATGAGCAGAGGGAGAGCATGAGCAGGGGGAGAGGCAGAGACAGACTCCCCGCCAAGCAGGAAGCCCGATGCCGGCTTCGATCCCAGGACCCCCCGGGATCATGACCTGAGCCAAAGGCAGATGCTTAACTGACTGAGCCACCCAGGCGCCCCTGGCATCATTATTAAAAACATATTTCACCCTTTTAAAATCAGCAATTCTTTTTATTTAAAATTGAATTTTAGTAGTGATATTTGTGGTATATTCTAATTCCTGTAGAACTGGAGTTAGGTATTTGAGTAGTATCAGATATTAAAGTGCATGCATCTGTATACAACAGAGTTGTCAATATTGGAATTCAAATTTCAATATCTAATTCTTTAAAAATTTTTGATTAAAAAATAACAAAGCCTAGTCACATCTGTATATTATTTAAATTATCTCTTAGAAAATATATATATCTACCTCTACAACTCCACCCCACAGTAATTCTTGCTTACTTTTTTTTTCTGTGGATGTACACAAATTATACAAATACTCTTCAATAAATGAGCATTCAGTAGGTTTACAGATTGCTATCATCAGGAATGTTTGTGTTCATATCTCTGTTTGCATATATGAGCATATATGTAAAGTAAAAATCTTGTTACAATTTCTGGGTGGATTTTCTAGTCAAAGGATTAGTAGATTTTGAATTTTTCTAGGTATTTCTAAATTTTTCCAAAGTAAGTGACCCTATTTTACATTTCTGTCTAATGCAACAAGGTAGTAAAAGCTGCCCTGCTCCTCAGGACTGAAAAATTTCAAAAAGACATCCTCCTCAAGACTGACTCACATCCATCAGCAGAGCATCTACTGGGTTTTTCTTTTCTCCCTGCCTCTTTCCATCCTCGCTCAGGTTTAGTGCCTTTGAGCAGTGCACAAGCTGCGCACCTGTGCTTGGTGGCTCTGGCAGTGTTTATAAAAATGCCCATTTACCCCTTGTGTACCATAAAATATTTTTATTTTTGCCTTCCTGTTAAATGAAAAACAGTATATATTAAGTTTTAAGATGAATTTATAAGAAAAAACCCTCTCATTTTCCATTTTATATTGTTTTATTTTCATGAAACCAGATCCAATAATTGAGCACCTACTGTGTGCCTAGTACTGCTCTAGGTGCCAGGGATACATGAGTGAAAGACATAGAAAAAAAAAATGCCCTTGCTATTATAAATGTACAATCTAACTTTACTATTTGCCTATGAATCTATACATTTGTTTTAAAACTTATATGGGTGAATTTTAAAGTTGCAGAGTTTATATTTCTAGTTGAATGTTCTATGTACTGCTACTTTGCCATTTCAATAATTTTAGGTAAAAATGTGACCCTACTTTGAAGTACTCAAGATAGGCTCTAAAAGTTCCTATTTATGACAAAATACAATTGTGTCATAAAGGAAATTCTGAATCTTTGCATAGGTGATTTTGTGTAATTATGTACAGTTCTTCTTTGGGTCCAAAGGCTCTAAAATGATGACCTTATGCCCTTTTCAATTTTGGAACGCTTTCTAAGGATTTTTTTGAAGTCTACATTTTTTTGAAACATCATAGCTTCATTGCTTGAAAATGATATAATGAAAGTACTTTATATTAAGATATGCAGATCCATTTCTGCCTCCAAAGCTTCTTTGAAAAATGGGGGAAAAATCTTACTTCGAAATGCTTCATATTCATGAAAGCAGTTTCAATGCAGAATTGTCTATTCTGTTAGCTTTTAGTTCTTTGATCAATGAAAATTGTTTCTTACCTGCTGTTTCTTCAGCCTTTAATTGTGGCCCAGTGCTTATTCAGTATTTCTGTTTTAATTTGTATTTAATGAGCCATTTTAAATATTTCTTTGTAGTAACCTGAATGGTTTCTCTCTTAAGTTTTGTAATATTAAAGAAGGAAATTTTTATGACAGTTGGCTGATTTATGTTGCAGCTCCCCTTCCTGGCTTATTTACTTCCCCCTATAGGAGAGTGTCTTGGTTAAAAAGAATTGTGGTAAGGTTACTATATTTCCCCCAGTACTGTATGTCCTAATTATCTGGGACTTCTACCAGGTTTATTCCTGTATCTATTTTCTCTGAATAGAAACCTTTCTTCCCTGAATTAACAGGTATTTCAGCTTACACTGATGATTTCAGTGTCAGTTCTTTCTGCGGTAGTAGATCGGGTGGTGCTGTGCAGGGGGGGGAGGTCCAGGTGGGTGGCAAGTGTGTGTATATCACCTACCGGGGAAGACGCGGGGAAATATGAGACTGTTTCTCCGAGTCGAGTTTGTGATCTAGTTGGACTGATAAGACATATATTTGGGTAAGAAATACCACCCCCCCCCGCAACAGAAGCAGAGTAATTAGAAAGAGATGTGTATATATCAACA